GGGCTTTTGTGTAATGGTTGTGGGAGCCTATATAATCTTTACCTGAAGTTGCCTCTGGGTCAATTATTCCAACCAGACCTGCGTGTCTTAGAAGGACGGTCGGCCCCAGCTAGCTGGCCTAATAAAACTCTGCTTGATTTTTGCATCTCCATACTTGTGCATTTGTTCTCCTGAAGAGACCCACCGAGTCACGGACCCTAACACAGATTCGTAACCTGTACCTTCTCCCCCACCCTCACTCCCCAATAGATGGCACCCACCACCACTCTCAACTACAGTGTGTTTTATTTGGAGGATTTTGTTTTTTCCAAATTCTGAAATAAGTGGAAACCTCTGGCCTTGCGTTAGTTGAAAATACCACTGTGTGGAAGGAGATACTCAATTGGCCTAAGGACTCAGAGACCCCCGTCCCCCAACTGCCCACAACACAGCCCCCCACCTCCTGCTACTCTTACATTGTCACCTATGAAGAATCACAATTCCCAGATTCCTAAAGTTTTGGTTACATAGTGGGCTCCTAATAACTGCTAAATGTGAAGAGGAGGAAGAAGGGGGTTTAAAACCCCAAAATTGAAAGCTGAGACTGTATTTGTGCCACAGCAAATAAGTCAAAGGACCAGGTCCTGTAAAGATGAACACTTACGGGCCTGGAGAGACTTTGGTCTGGATTTTGGCCACTTGCCTGATACGCCCTCTGGCAGCTAAGCACGTGCTGAGCACAGGAGCCTGTGGTGGCCAGGCTGTGAGTGGACAGCCAGATCCAGACCAGCCATCAGTGACTTACGTATACCCTCTACCCTTTGAATAAAGGGTAGGGGGTATGTAAGTCACGTATTTATCACTTTTCCAGTATTGATGAATGTGTAGACAGTTGTCTCTCCAGGTCACTAGGACTTCTTTTAAAAGCAAAACCAAAAAAAAAATTTTCTCCCCCCCACAAAAATTACTTGGGGCTGGGGTATAGTTCGGCACTAGAGTATGTACACTCTTAGGGTGTGCAACGGACTGGGATCCATCTCCAGCACCAATAATAGTAATAAAGTTTTGACATGATTATGTAGGCAAAAACTGACTTTTTACTGGGGACACTTGGCTGCAGGCTTCCTGGTGGGGGCCACTTCTGTTAAGTCTCTAGGGCCCTATTTGTGCCCCATGACCTAATGTGGTAGAGGGCCAGTGACAGCTGTTGTTTTCTGTGTGTCCAGACAGAAATAGCTCTTGCAGTCACTTACTGAGAACTTGGCTGGCGGAGGCTTGAGCAGTGAGGAGACGCTGGAGACTGTCTTCCAGAGGACTGTGCTGAGCCTGCAATTAATTCCAGGTACCCACTGGCTTAGCCGAACCCTAGACATTTAACTTAAAAGCAGAAGTGAAAGGAAGGTGTCTCCAGGTGCCTGAAAGGGTTATTCTGACTAAGACTAGCAATAAAAATGCAATTGGCTGGGAGTTGGCACGGCCAAAGTGCAGCCCAAATGTCCTCTCTCTCTCCACAGTGTGGTTGTCACTTTGAGGAGGTGAGCAGCAGGCTGGAGCAAGGATGGAGCCACAGGAGCAGGAGAAGAAAGGGGTGAGTGCGTGGTCAGGAGCAGCCCCAGTTGCAGGGCTTACTCAGCCTTCCTGGGGAGTCACTGGGGCTCTGTTATTACAGAGCCTGCTCTTTGCTGCCGAGGGCTGTCTGGGGATGGGGGGCTGTGGCCAAAGCCAAACAGGTGGTTTGTTTGTTTTTTTTTTCTTTTCTTTTTTTTTGGTCTTTTTGAGGCAGGGTCTCCCTGTAGCCCCAACTGGCCTGGAATTCACTATGTAGACCAGGCTGGCCTCAAACTCATAGAGATCCACCTGCCTCTGCCTCCCAAGTGCTAGGATTAAAGGTGTGTGCCACCATGGCGGGCTAGACAGGTGAACTTTTATGGGAGCAGTGAGGTTTATAGACAAATGCAGGGGGCCATAAGAGTTGGCTCAGCAGTTAAGAGCACTACCTGCTCCTGCACAGGATCCAGATTCAATCCCAGCACCCACATGGTGGCTAACAACCATCTGTAACTCCAGTTCCAGGGATCTGATGGCCTCTTCTGCCTTCTGTGGGCACTGCACAACATGGGTGCACTTACATACATGCAGGCATAACATTCATACACATAAAATAAAAATAAATAAATAAAGTTTACAGACTTGTTAGGAATTGTACCACTGGAACAGTTGTTGGGAACTTTCTACAGCTGGGCTGGGGAGTACAGTTCAATTGATAGAGTGCTTGCCTAGCTGTGCATGAAGCCTTGGGATTGATCCCCAGTACTACATAAAACTGGGTACCGTAGTGCAGGACTGTATCCTAGCACTTGGGAGGCTGAGGCAGGAGATGAGGAGCTTGAGGTCAACCTCAGCTACACAGAGAGTTCAAAGCCAGACTAGGCTAGAGACCCTGTCTCAATTTTTTTTTCTATGCCCCACCCTCTAGTGTAATTGGAATTCAGGATGAGAAGGCAAAGTGATAGGGACATGATAGAATCTGACCTTCAACAGATGCACATAGCTTTCTTAGCTTTGAGGGACACGCAACCTTCCCTTGGGAATCAAAGTTGGACATTGGGGTTGGGGGAGGTTTGGGACTTATAAATGGACTAAAGGGGTTCATGCCTTTCCAGAATCCCAGAAGCTGGGTGTGCCATCTTGGATGGTGTTCTGCTTCTTCCTGGGAAGGAAAGACCGGGAGTTCTGATAGGGAAACCAGGTATCTTCTCCGAGGTGGTTGGTGAGGAACCTGATCTGCGGGGAAGCTGATAAGGAACCAGGTGTCTAGGCTAGAGGCTGTGTGTGCTGAGATAGATGTGTTTCCCTCTGCAGTGGGGAGGCAGGGTGGGGAGTGGTCAGTTTCCTCAGTCACTTGTCAGGTTTATTTTCCTTCATTCCAGACCCCGAAGGCATAAAAAGAAAGGATCGGGGGTGTCTTTTTCTCTTAACTGAGAAGGAGTCCTTTGGTGGTGTGGAGAGGGAATATAGCCTTAATTTGGTCTCAGGTAGCGGCTTGGACAGTCACCTGGGCTGCTTGGTCAGGAGTCTCTGTAAGAATCTTTGGAGATAACAGTTGATTAAGCATAGTACAATGGTCTCATTACTCAGGAGTCAATAAGGATTTAGTGGAAGAAGGGGAGGGAAAGATGAGCTGGTCAGGCCAGTTCTCATTCTAGGTATCCAGGTCCATTGAGGTTCTGGTCATGTCCTCAGCAAGTCTTCCAGGAGCAGGGTATTACTTCAGGAAAAAGAGAAGGATGTAGAAAACAAAACAAAACAAAACCCAGAACCCCTTATCGGCATCCCCAGCCTCTAGCTATGGTGGAATTAGAGGCATTTTTGGATTAGATAGTTTGACATCCCTAGTCTCAGGTAGGGACAAGTTTACTAGCAGATCCTAGAGCATTTCCAGCTCTCAGCCAGAAAGAAACTAGTCATTTTTCTTTTGGGGTCTTCACCCTAAAACTGCCTAACCAATCTCTACCTCCTGCTCGCATCACTCCTCCCTCTGAAGAGGTAACCCTAATTGCCAATAGGAAATTGGGGCGTCGACTGCTCTGGCTTCTTCGATGCTAAATAGGAGTGCAGAGTATGGCAACTGGGCTACCTCTTCAGTCCGTCTATCTAAAAGACCCCCAAAGTGCCTAACTGTTAGCTAGAAAGAGAAAATAGAGTCCTTGACTGGTGCCTGGGAGGAGATGTGAAGGAGAAGTACAGCGAGAGTAGTTAGCACAAGTTCTAGGCAGGGGGCCAGGAGAAGAAGCCAGAACAGGGTGAATTTTAAATGTCCAAATCAAAGTCCATTAGAATTTCTTGGTGAAGGCTTCCAAAAGCATCATCTATTGGGTTCCTCCTCATTTTTCTTTTGGCTGGACTCCGGATCTGCTTTTCAGGCACTTGATGACTATTGCAGTGGCTAGAGTCACAGTTTGAGTTCCCTCTCAAATGGCTTCTAGACAGGGAAAGAAAAATGTAGTCATTTAGTTTTTAGATAAGAACAATGGCAGGTTGGTCTCCCTTAGCTGCAGGTGGGCACTGCAGTGTTGAATTGGGTCAAGATCTGACATCTTATATCTGAGTAGTATATTTCTTATCAAGGAGAAAATCTTAGTGAGAATTTTCTAAATAACATCTCATATGATGTTATATATGTATAATGTCTGGGAAGCACAATCCTTCAGATTCTAAAGGAAACATATTGATCACTTTAACCTTTGGTTATACTTTCCTTTTGAATGTTTAAGACCATACAATTGGCCCAAATTAACCAAGTTTTTTTTTTCAGGTTCAGTTGAGGATCTGATCCTCAGGGGCCACTCAGGCTTTGGGCCTCCTTTGACTTTTCTTTTACTAGTTTCATCTATGTGAGGATAAGTCAGAAGGTCCTGCTCAACTGTGACTTCACTTGGAAGCATGGAGGAAACGTTCCTCTGTTGACCCTCCTCTTTATAGACTAGACACTGGCTTGATTCCCTTTAATGAGGTCTCCATGGCCTCCCTGAACAGAGGGATAGGTGACTCACTACAGTTACAGAACACTTTGAGAGATGTTCCATAGTCTCCTGGGACTTAGTCAGCCTTGGGTGGGCAAGAAACAAAAAAATTGTCCCTTTACATCTCTCTGACCAGATTAGTATAGGCCTTTAAATATGGTTACTAAACATCCAAGAAGGTCAGTTACACCAGTCTGAAATTTTTAATTACTGTGTAGAAAACAACCTAAACATTCTTGAATAAACCTTGACTAGACATATGTTCTGTTCCTTAAGTTAGCCTTTATAAGATCTAATTTAATGGGGGCTGAAGAGATGGCTTAGCAGTTAAGAGCACTGACTGTTCTTACAAAGGATCTGGGTTCTATTCCCAGCACCCACATGACTGTTAACAACTGTCCATCACTTCATTTCCAGAGGATCCAGTGCCCTCTTCTGACAACTCCAAGGGCATTGCACAACATGGGTACACTTACACACATGCAGGCAATACACTCATACACATAAAATAAAAATAACAAATAAATTAAAAAAATAACTAATTTAAGGGTTGACTGAACTTTGACCTTAGAGGTTTTAAGATCAATTTAGTGGATTTAGGGCTGTCCCAAGAATGTGACAAGAGTGAAATCTTTAACATTGAAGGTTTCCATGAGGAACTGAACTTTTATGGCCTAAGTCAGAGAAAGAAGAGATTTACTAATCAAACCTACAACTATCTGAAGTTTGGGTTTCTTAAAACATTTCTATTTCTTAGATTAGATATGGGAGAAGTGTCCTGAGGAAAAGAAAAGGAAAAGAAGAAGCAAAAACACTTCTAGTAAATTTTAACGGTCAGAATTGAAGAGGCCTTCAGCGGTCTGAAAGCAACGAAGACCCAAATTGAATGTCAAAACCAAAATATTTTCAAAGCAAGCAAACAAAAGAGATACCTTAAAACACTTTGAAAGCAACCAAATCCAAATAACCATGCCTTCTAACAAATGGGACCCTTAAACAACCAGCTCAGATGATGTTTTTATCACCAATTAGCATTTAAAGTTTTGTGAGACACCTGGCAAACCTAGAGACATTGTTTAATAGATTTACAGATGTTCAGGGTCCCCAAATTTATAAGGCCTTTGAATGCATCGTCAAAATATCCCATTTTTAAATCTGCACATGTGTATTTCAATTGGCCACACCAGAATAAAAATAAAACCAGTAATTTTGTGCACAATAAAAAGAATAAAAAGAAAAAAACCTGAAGTGGCCAGTTTGTCTTAAAAAATTGTTTTGATGGAAACAACATATGAAGACAATTATCATAGACACACATGACAGAATTACATGAGATATTAACACATGCAAACACATATATAACATAATTACATGAAAAGTAGGTACACCCAAAACATGATAATCAACAGGTTTGATAATGATGACCTTTTGCAAATGGCACAGTGGAAGTCATGAAGAAGGCAGTTGTTTGGCCCAGGAGAGCGCCATATAGACGGCACTATTCTACTAAAGGAGCGTTAAACACAAAGGATAATGTAATAAATTAATATTGCCTGTGCACACACAGGGAATCTGTAGGGTCCTGGGTGAACTTAATAGAAAACATAGTTTAGGGGCTGGACAGATGGCTCGACGGTTAAGAGCACTGACTGCTCTTGCAGAGGACCTGGGTTTGATTCCCAACATCCACACGGCTGCTATGAACCGTCCTTAACTCCAGTTCCAGGGGAATCTGAAGCCCTCTTCTGACCTCTGTGGTATTGCATGACACGGGTACACTCACATGCATGCAGGTAATACACTTATACACATAAAATAAAAATAATAAATAATTTTTTTTAAAAAGAAAGAGAACTTAAAGAGAAATACTGAAAAAAACCCAACAACCTGAAATATAAGAAATGAAACACATAGTCAAATAAAAGTTCTATGGGAATTCTCACCAATAGAGTGGATCAAGAAAAGAACATAACAAAAAGAAAATATAAGATATGATCAAAGCTCCCCTGAAGAAGTTGTAACTTAATTAAGAAAGATAAGTGGCTAGAACTCTTATGATGGAGAA